AGTCATTTCTGGATAAGCTCAATGGAATCCTTTTACCTCTTCTCGCTACCTGTATCTTACCAAGAAGATTTTTTAGAAGGTCCATGACCGACTGTACATTAATCTCGGCATAGTCATGGTAATACTCACCTTTGATGCTTCAGCCTCCGAGATTGGTACAGGATTTATAGGCTAAAGTTTCGGCCGTAGACCATCTGTAAAGAAAGTTGAACATGTGTGTGACCATTCAAATACCTTTCAAATTACAAGAAGAAAACTCCAAGGGTTAAAAAATGAAAGATGTCGGAGAGTCTGACTTCAACACGTTGACGACCGCCGTTGTGCGCGTACTGCTTCAACATTTTTCGTATTCTCTCATCAATAGGCATCAATCCTTCAGCGTTTTCATTATCAGTAATGAAGAAATAGTTTTTCGGATCCAATAATGTACATGGACCGTTGTGGAACAGGAGAAAACACCAAATAAATCAAGGAAAACTAGTCTGCCCCATGCGAAAGTGTTAAACGATGACGGAGCTGTAGGAGGCTTTCTCGGCTGTAGGTTCTTGGTTGAGCCCACATGTGTATGAATACTTTAAAGTACGGCCAAAGGGCTATATGAAAAGTATTGCTTGAGGCCAACATAAGGTCGGATCACTGCTGATGGCCGCGCAACGCTGTAGGATTTTGGGGAGTTTGGAATTTTTTAAAGGTGAGCTCTTGCCTCGGGGGCCCGCAGGCGTATCGACTGCGTAGATTAAAACCACACAGAATTTCATTGTAAACTCCGCCTCTGAGCATAGCGTATTTTGAAGGCACCGCGAATTCGTGGTACTGTCTTCTATTTTCGAAGGATATCTATAGTTCCATTCAATCAGCAAATTGATTGCAGGTCAGTTTTCGAGAGCATACATTCGAAGTTCAAATAGGTCGCCAAGTGGCAATTCGACCTAAGAGAAACACATCCGAGACGATAAGGGTGAATATTTTTAGAGTCCTTCCACAGCTTTGCTCGAATTCTTCTAATTTGTTCTGAATTTTCCTAGTTGCTCCTTCCGCAAAGAGGAGCTTGCTGTCTTGCTAAAGGCGAATTGTCAATCGATAGCCAAGCTCTATCGGAAGCCGGATTGCATTATGGAGGTACGTTCTAGTATTCTACCTGGAGATTTAACACGTTGACGACAGCGCAGGACACATACGTCCCGCACTTTGCAGGCCATAACGGACAACGCGGGACGTATGTGTCCTGCACCCATGCATTCATTTTTTCCTCGCACACGTGATTCATTTTTAGGCTTCTTGTATTCATTCCATAGAGAAAACCTTAGCATAGATACAAACATAGTCGCTCTTAGAATGGTCACGTATGCTTCAAATTAGGGGAGGTTTTCTGAACCGAACGAAATCGTCAGTCTAGTTGATTTTTGTTTACATTTTCTTTTCATGAATGTGAATATTTAAAGGGTAGTATAAGTCAATACGGAACCTCAAGGATGACAAGATATGTGTTTTGATTGCAACAATCGATGCAAAATTGCTTTTGACGTTCATTGCAGCTGATTCTGACAAATTTTGCTTTTTCACTATTATTTCATCCGTATTTCGATCAAAATTTCACTACTGTATCTCTGGGGCGCTTCTACGCACTGAAAAATACTAATCTAACTTTGTATCAATCATGTTTTATGCATTTACCACGCAAAATTCGCCTGAAGGACCTGAGGCGGCGGCGCTCGCAAAATCGCGCCGGTCCCACGCGGCCAAAAGAAGCCAAAACGCGCGTTGTCGTCAACGTGTTAAAGACAAAACTCGAGATGAAATTGATAATCATGAAATAGGTAGTGGCAGAGTCAAAGTAGACGATGGGTGGCGTATCAGCGGCAGAAAGCGCTCAGTTGAAACAATCAAAACGCGCGAAAAAGTGTGTAACGGGCCCACACATACTGTGTCCCGATCAAGTTGTGTGATTTCTTCTCAGAAGGGTCTTCATACCAACCGTCTCACCCTGAAACCTTACTAACTTCAGCTTTTGCTGTTGAGTACGTGCATATTACCATAAAAAACATCCTACTCTATAAAGATCGTGTGCATGCATGTGTATGTATGTGTATTGCTGTACCGCATTGTGTTACATATTTGGCTAGTGATAAAAAATGACAACTACTGACTAAGAACTCGGAAGAGGCGTCACACCCCGGAATTCACAAAATTTATAGCGCACGGTCCAGCTGTAGTTGAGCGTTTCCTCCAAGATATGGAAACTAGGGGTAGGGGCTGGGACGGAAACGTATTCGTCGCGTGATAAAAAGTGAGAACTATTGATAAGAACTGATAGCGGAATACACACAGTTGCGTTCAAAAGTTTGGAAACTTTTTTATTTCTGGCCAATAGACACTGAATTCACTATTATCGATAGAATCAAGTGTAGATTACGATGAGCAACATAATTTTTTGAAAACGAGAATCGCATTTGAAAAATACGAATTTTTATAAGAAATGGCGCGTCAAAAGTTTGGAAACTTCCCAATTCCAAAGCGAATTCAACAAAATAGCTAAGAATTTTTTTCCCAGTTGTGTGAATTTGTACTCATTTTGGGGCGCAAAGATATTGCCGATGGTAGGTTAGACAGTACTAAATCCAGCGAAGGGGAGAAAAGCCAGGGAGAACACAAACTGCTCACATGCTCCTCCAGGATCCCTTCCTCTTGCTATGGCTTAGTCCCGAGCACAGTAATCGATTCACCCACTTGAATGTATCTCCTTCCCCCCCCCCCCAAGCATACCTTGTTTTGCATTACTACTATGTAAGTTCATAAAAATCAGTGAAAAGTAAAATAGTAGCTGTGAACTCTACTTCGCATTGTTTATTGTTGACATGATGATATCAAATAATCGTTTAGGACTTTAATGAACCTGCGCGCATGTTTGGGGTGATAACCTCATGTTTGTGGAATTCTGCATATATAGGTGGAAGTGGCGGAAGTGACAAGTGGCGCGCTCACCACGCGAGCGGTCCGGGATCAAATCCTGGGTCGTGAGTCGCCCGGGCCAACCAAGCCTTCCATCCCTCCGGGGTCGGTTAATTGGTACCAGACTTGTCTGGATAAAACACTGACTTGTACATCGGCTGGCCCCCGCAAGTCATTGTATAGGCCACATCGCATTCAAACGCCACTACGAATGTACAAATGGAAGTAGAATGCGTGCCGCATCCCAAAAAGGGATTGATCAACGGCAAATGCTTTATCCTTTATCCTTTACCGGATTGAGCGACATGCCAGCTCTTCCGCAAGAAGTAGAACTCAGTTAGACTTCAGATCTTGACTTGTTCGCTTCATAACCGCTTCTTTTCTAGTGTAAAAAGCGCCAGAGAGGTAAGCCAGCATCGGGTCATTTCCGCGATAGAAAACCCACCTCCTGCTAGTTCTGACTATCGAAGGGCAGCATTGTATTCTACAGGCTATTCTTGTTGTCGCCCACCCCCCATTTCTCTGCCTATATGAACTGGGGAATCGCTGAATGGTCGGACACACCACCATCCATGACAATATTTCCACTATTTCTGACTATTAAAGGATGTGGCTAGAATTAGGTTTCCTGTAGATAGAACACTTCACAAGGTCCAGAACATCATTTTTAAGAAGACAGAAATCGCATGTCGCTGAGACGAAGTTTTCCCAACCTTGGTCCCTGTTAGCCGTTATGTGCGAGCCAGTTGGGCCATCCCAGCCTTTGAAGCCCAACAATGCTTTTGGACACCTCCGTCAATAATATCAGCCGCGCCGATGTGACTCACTTGACTTTCATAGATTACGTTGTTGCGATACGGGCCGTCCACACCCTTACAGTCTTTGAGGAGGGCCAATTTTCTTGCGAGGGTACTTTTTTGTGAACGATCATTTTCCTTATGTCTGCTCAACTCCAATAACGCTGAAACACTAGATAATAATGCTTCCTTACAGGCTGAACCACTGAAAAACAATTTCAATTTCTCGTTCCTGATGCAGACTTAAGAAAAGGAGATCCCATAGAAAAACTGCCTTCCTTTGCATTAATACATTCGAAATACCAGTCACTCAATGTTCGACTCCTAAATCAGCGAATCAAGTATCATTGCATAGTTTCCATGTCATGTGATTGAACAAAAAGGTTCAAACGTTTGACGTACCCTTACGAAAAAAAGTCTTGTTTCTCAATAATCTTAGATTGCTGAGTTTTTTCTTCGTCGATTCTAGACTTTTTGTGTAAGATTTAAATTTGAGACAATTCGTTATTTATCAGCCGCGCTAGATCAAAAATAAGAAATTTCCAAATTTTTGACGGGTACCGTAGGCAATGGGGAGACGGCGTGAAAATTTGGCCGATCCCTGGATCGTGAAGCACTGAGCCTACTGGTGCGACTTTTGTAGACATATTTTATAGGCAAAATCTATTGACATGGGGGGTTACCATTAGGCAAAAGCGGCCTGACGTCTTAGAGGGCAGATCAAACGACAAACGACATACTTACGTATTAACTTTCTCCCCCTTTGATGTTTGCTGATTGCGCGAATGGACGTCACTCTTTGAGCCGTCGCCATTCTCACCTGTTTTTTTTGGTAGCTGTAAACGGGTGAATACCTACCGATGTGTGATAGATCCAGATGAAGCGCGTAAAATATTGCGATCATTCAAGAGCTCCACTTCATTACCTTCCGATGATATTTCCCGAATTGTTTACATATGTTGCGCCTCACCTTTATGCGAACCAATTTGCATGATATTGTGTTTCGCTAATTTACCCGCACTTCGATTGAACTGGAGCTGCGTGACGAGAAATTGCTTCACATTTTCACAGGTGCAATCTTATTTCCTTACAACAGCATGGATTGATTGCTGGAGTTTTCTCTTGTACTCTCATGGCTGATTGTATCTTTGACTGGAATCGAGCGACTATTACTGCCGCGCCGACGAAGCTTCCAGGTTGCTCAAGTCTGCTCAAAAACAGTTTCTGGAAATTCTGATAGCTGAAAATTTTAAAATGGCCAGCTCCAAACGGAGACGCCAGTGGATCACCGAGCACAAGGTACACGTTGTGGGTGGGGCGAGTCTTGCGAATGAGCCCCTTTAAGGAGATAGCAGAAAGGGCACATCTTTTTTGAAGGCGCAGTAATCTACCTAGCGGGCGCACTACATTGCAGCATCAACTCATTGAGGAATGGGTCAAGGAACTAGTGCCACCAGTCTTTACTGACACTCGTTTACACTTTTCTGTTGAATGAAGAGGACGGTGTTCCAAGAAGTGAAAAGTAATAGATTCAAAGACGCCTAGGCCTATTCTTTTCGAATATAATCGACCACGTCCTACCCCACAGCTACCTACGCTCAAAATATATCGAGAAATTGGAACGAATTCTTTCAGAGCGCTCGTTCACTCCAACGGCACCAACGGCACCTCCTAGTACGAGGCACCGATCACTTTTCGTTGGACTTCGAATTCCACCGGTACCAAAGCCAACTCCAGCGCAGGATATCCAACGGCTTTCATGGTGAGGAATTTCTGTGAGCAAATGAGTTTCACTAGATCAATGAACTGATTGCAGGACTGATGTGGTGAATCGTGAATGGTCCATCACGTTTCTGATCTGCTCAATTTCCGTTTTGGTTATAATGATTGCCATGGTTGGCTTCGGGATTGTTGTATTTCTCTACCTCCAGATTAAACCGCCTCTTTCTAAAAGATGCTACCTGATTGAAGACTGAAGAGATGTACCCTGAATCCTCCAGGCTTTATGGGAGATGTGCTGTTTGACAGCTCGAGATTTTGAGAGGATGTGAATGTATGGTCTTGGATGTAGGCACTCCCCAGGTTGTGTTACTGAGATTTATCCTGCATTCGCAAAAACCACTACCCTCCCTACGTCATTAGCAACTAATTTGATGACCGGTTTGCCATACACTCACTCTTGAAGCTCGGCCTTTGCTTACAAAAAATCCCGGTTGTTATTAGTACTTATAGCCGCAAAATTGCTGCTGGGATGAAGAGTTGGAATAATTATGAGGGCATTTTTTCCAATGCTCATAATTCAACATAATTCAACACTCCACATCTCCGCCACGCCCATCTCCACCCCTTTCTCAGCGGAGGACTTGTTGACGAATCATTGATCGGAGCGGGTTACACAAGAAACACGCTAGTGGGACAGGCACATTTGCGCAAAATGGCTATAAATGAGTACAGATCTCCCTCGATGAGATCTGATTCAGCTGAGATTTATTATGTTCCTGTCTTCCCTTATTATTTTGTGATTTTCCGCACGACTTCGACTTCTGTGATGATGTTCATCTGTTCTGTCTTTTGATTGTGTATGCACACTATAACAGCTATGAGAAGCACAAATTTCTTTTTGAACCTACGATATGTTTGTCATACGTATCATTCATTCAACGTCCTATCGACATTCACTTTATTTCAGGGCCATTTGATCGATTTGATGATTTTTAGACACCTGATTGTAAATATTACTGTTTTATACTCGGACAAAGTTCGAAGTTCGCATCGCATTCTCTACTAGTGAAGTGGGTAGAATCCATGTATTCTGCATGCTGCACATATACGTAATAATAAGTCTAATATTAATCGATGTGATAACAGTTTCGTCTCTTTTAGACCGTGACATTCAAACGCACTCATTCGTACAAAACAAACGTTTTCGAAAAATTGTGACAGTCTAATGTACATTGCTTATCGAACCGACGACCAAACCGAAGCAGGGTCAAGCGTTGAGGCATCTGACGGTGGGGGGACGTATTAGGCGCAGTAGGAAGGATGAGTTGTGACTGCCGGCGGACCAGCGGCGGCTCGTGTGAGAGTAGAGGGACTACGACTTGCATCAGATTTGGAGTGCAGCGGCGCATATCTAAGCGGATTCGACCTTCAATTTCCCTGTGGAGATGTGAGTTTGTAAGAAATAACAGGTTCTCAGAAGAGACTACTCAGAATGCCGGGAACAACGCCTACTCAAGAAAAAATTCACTTTTCAGTGTTTTCACAACATATGACCATTTGAGTGAGCTGAAACCTTTCTGTGCACTTTTATATTCATTAAGAAGCAGAAATTGGTTGCTCCTGAAACTTCTTCACTGTTGCACAAATCAGTACACGAAAGAAAGAAGTTACGGTCGTTGAAGGACTGTCAACGCAACGATCAGACAGAACTCAACGAGGCCACTTTTGACGTACTGAAGGTACCAAGTACTCCCATGATAGTTTAATAGAACAAATCTTCCAGTGTGCACGCCTTAAAAGCCTTCTGATTATATGCATTTGAGGTTATGGCCTTTGAAATTGTAAAAACTCGCGCATCTCGAAAATGTCCCTCGCTATTTGCTCACCTTACGACGAATGACTTGTGATATGAGCGATCATCGGCTGCTGGAGAAAGGCAACTCCAATGAAGTGAGTTTGGAGGACTGATTGATGGAATAATCGTCGCGGGGGGGGGGGAATGGATCACAGCATGGTCGTCGTAATTGAATGGCGGCGTAAGGCCGATGTCATAGTTTGCGAATCGAGCGATTCGCTAGCGAATCGCTGGATCCGAGCGTTGTGCAAGCGATGCACCAGCGAGTCGAACTAGGTACCAGCGACTCAAGTAGTGGCGGGACCCAATTAATCAAAGGAAAGCCCCGCCTTTCTCAAACAGTGTCGCTCCCTACTAAGTTTACCTCTAAACCACAAGCCAAAATGATACAGCAGCCTTACTCGGCCAACGTTTCCGCCTTTTCGCCTTCGTCAGAGCCTAGAAAGTCACAGAAAAGTGCGAGCTGACTGCGCTCGAAGCCCACAAAGGTCAGCGAAGGGTGCGAGTTCACTTGTTATGGCTAGGCATTCATCTTTCCTGATTTTTGGGTTTTTAGCGCTTATCCAAAAGGCCTCCAAAGTTTTGCGCGCTGAAGGTGTGGGGCTCTCGCGTCAAGATCCTTACAGTGACCTCAAACTCCGCGCCTCCATGGCATTGCAACCGATGACCACCCAGGGGGGTCTCAGGCCTTGATCTTGCTTAGCCCGTCTAGGTGTTCCTTGATCCTGGGCACAAGGGCCGCCCAGTTTCCCCGATGTACTCCTCCCCGCAGAGCGCACATGAGATTAGGTAGACCACACACGATGCCATGCAGTCACCCTCCCGCCCGTTAGGGACAGATGACACAGTGGGGGTAAGGCAAGTGCGGTCGTACCAACGGTTGCGGACCAACTGCTGTTTTAAGTTTGTGGGTGGGACATCGACCACCCAGACCAGGTCTTCGAGACCACACGTGCGTTTTCACAGCCAAGCTGATCCGGTCATTCACAAAAGGTATGCAGAAGGCCACCTTATCCTCATCCTCGCCCGCAAAGCGATGTTGTCTTCTTGTGGGAGGTCCAGGCGGAGATTTTCCTCTTTGGGGTACCCGATGGAAAGTGCTATCTTTTCAGCCATCTCCAATGACTACCTTCTTTCCTGGTTCGCCCGATGAGACCATTTTTGCCGTTCTGAACATGTTTTTAGTGATAGCGCTTTTGTTTTGCAGGGATGTGCCGACCGGAAATGGACTAAGATGTTTTTGTTGCTGGGTTTGACGGTACCATTGGTACGGTAGAACCCGCGCCTAAAGCTGGATTGCACGTTCAGGAAAGGGAGCCAGCTGCCTTTTGGCTTCTCCCTTGTGAACTTGATGTTGGCAGCTTGGCTATTCGGAGGATTGAAACATGTGTCCATTTCTCTTTCTGATGAGCAGACGACAAAACAGGACAGGTCGGCGGTCCAGTAACGGCTTTTCTATCTTGGACATGTACGCAATGGCAAGTACTGGTGACCCATGGCCAACCCTCTGATCTGCCTGTAGTATTGCCCAGACCACCTGAAGATGGAGCAGTCGAGACACTCGCTGACAAGTGTCATTACGTGGGTGGTCGTGAGACCATGTTCATAGTACATGTTGGTAGATGCCCGATGTTTTATGTACATGTTTATAGATGCCTGATGTTCACTAAGCAGCTCAAAGGTGGCCTGCATGGCATCCTTGTTTGACACATTGGTGTAAGGGAGGTGACGTCGAAGGATTCCATGACGTGGTTCCGTCTGAACCTGGCCTCACGCAATCGGTCAAGGAACTTGGTGGTATTGCTGAGGTGGGCCGGGATGAACGGTAGCAGTTGCACCAGCACGAGGTTCAGCAGCCACGATATTCTGTCGGTGGGTCCTCCGATGCTGCTTATTATGGGGCGGACCTGGAATTTGAGGGGTCGTTTGAAGACAGGGTGGTCTGCGAGAGCTTGTGTGTTTTTCAGGAGGACATAGAGGACCGGGCAAGTTGGGAGGTCGCATTCAGACGTGTCCCACTGATTTTGGCGGCTCTGCAGCACGTACTACGTCCATCCAAGTCCTGTTGAGTTTGCGATACTGCTTTTTGAACTCTGTCTCCGATGAGGGTCGTACAGAGTTTCATCCTGGAGGTGAGATTTTGTAATAGCAAAGTTCAGCTCCGGAGAAGTACCACAAATTCGCCTCTTTTATCACTGCCAGATACCTCAAAGTGATTGGGACGTATGAAATTCCTTAGTTCTTTGAGCCCGAGTTTTTGTGCAGCACCCGTGAGGTCCGACGGGATCCGCTTCTGGTTGCCTCGACTCATTATGGTGTAGACTCGAAGTCGCGAACCACACAGAATGTCACATCCACTGATGGGTCAGGGTCCTGTGGCCTGAAGAAAAGGAAGGGGAAAGGGATGGGGGGATGTTTGACCCTGTTAATGGTTGTTGACCTGCATCCCTCGTTTTGGCCTTGAGGCGAAGACTGTCCTGAAGAGTTTGTAGTGCTCCAAGGATCTTGCGCGATACCCCATGACCTATTGATTGGTTGGGAGAAAAACTGGGACCGAGACTGAGAACAGATAGCGCATTATTGGAAAGATTCACACCGCCAATAACCGTAACTCTAGATGGATTAGCTGTTCCACTGTTGTCAGTAAGTGGATGCTCTTGGTTTGTGGAGGTGGCAACTGGTGATTGCGCGATACGACGACTTCCCAGGTCTACTAATCTATTGAACTTATTTCGAAGTCTTACTTTGATGTCTGAACGGATAGAATCGCAAATGATCTTTGACTCACCCACAATTCTCCTCCATTGGCGACTCGGCAGATATCGTTGACAATACAATTCTTTGACATACATTTGTTAAGCATGAAGTACATGTAACCTTCGTGTAACTTCTTCTTCTTGATCAAGTTCGGTAACCATGTTCAGAACGGCAGAATTGATCTTATCGGTTGAAAAGGAGAGGAAGGAGTCATTGAAGATGGCTGAAAAGATAGCACTTTCCATCGGCCTGAACCTCCCACAAGAAGACAACATCGCTTTGCGGGCGAGGATGAGGATAAGGTGGTCTTCTGCATGCCTTTTGTGAATGACCGGGCCAGCTTGGCTGTGAACACGCACGTGTGGTAAGACCTGGTCTGGGTGGTCGATGTCCCACCCACAAACTTAAAACAGCAGTTGGTCCGCAACCGTTGGTACGACCGCACTTGCCTCACCCCCCACTGTGTCATCTGTCCCAACGGGCAGGAGGGTGACTGCATGACATCGTGTGTGGTCTACCTAATTTCATGTGCGCTCTGCGGGGAAGAGTACATCGGGGAAACTGGGCGGCCCTTGTGCTCCAGGATCAAGGAACACCTCGACGGACAAGGCCTACCCCCCTGGGTGGTCATCGGATTGCAAT